CCACTAGCTTGTTTCTCTCCTAGCTGAAAGGAGCAAAAAGGGACGAAATCCTTCATTTCATTTCCCCAAAGCACATGTACAGTCAAGTGCCAGCCCAATTCCAAAGACTGGCAGAGCCAAAGGGAAACACAAAGCTCCAAGGAGACGTCCCTTAGGTAAGGGAGGCAAAGGAGGGAAACTTCAGGTCTTTCTGAGGGAATCCAACAGAAGAGGCTGCCACGGGCTGATCTCTGAAGCTGGTCAGCCTCAAGCCACTCTGTGGAATGGGTAGGTGCCCAGACCCACAGAAATCCTGTGAAGTCATTGTGCACCTCTGCTAATCTCTAATCATTACTGACTTCATTTAAGGAGGAGCAGGACAGAGACCAAGGGGAATCAGGGACCCAGCTCCAGCCTGACCAAAAGGTCCAATGGAGATTGCTTCCCCACGCCAACCCCGGCCTTGGTCAAGATGCCCTCCACCAAGTTGTGAACTGATCTAGCCATTCTGGAGAGCAATTTGGAACTATGCCCAAAGGGCTATAAAATGTGCATACCCTTTGACCCAGCAATAGCACTTCTAGGGCTATATATCCCAGAGAGATCATACAAATGGGAAAAGGACCCACATGTACAAAAATATTTATAGCAGCTCTTTTTGTGGTGGCAAAAAATTGGAAATTGAGGGGATGCCCATCAGTTGGGGAACAGCTGAACAAGTTGTGGTATACGAATGTAATGGAATACTACTGTGTTATAAGAAATGATGAGTAGGTAGACTTCAGAAAAACCTGGAAAGACTTATATGAACTGGTAATGAGTGAAGTGAGCAGAACCAGAACATTGTACACCGTAACAGCCACATTGTGAGGTGACTGACTTTGATAGACTTAGCTCTTCTCAGCAATGCAAGGCTCTAAGACATCTCCAAAAGTCTCATGATGGAAAATGCTATTCACATCCAAAGAAAGAACCCTGGAGTCTGAATGCAGGTGGAAGCAGACTATTTGCTGTCCTTTTCCTTTGTTGTCTTGTTTTATTGCTTCTTATTCGTGGTCCTTCCCATTAATTCCAAATGCTCTTTACATCCTGACTAATGGGAAAATATGCTTAATATGAATGTATGTGTAGAGCCTATATCAGATTACATGCCATCTTGGGGAGGGGGAGAAAATTTAAAACTCAAAATCTTATGGAAATGAAAGTTGAAAACTAAAAATAAACAAATAATTTTTTTAAAAAGATGCCCTCCACCAGCCAGAGAGGGAAGCTGGCAGGCCAAGGAGTGACCAGCTCTGCCTCCACTTATTTGACTTGGGAGAGACAAGAAGCTTTATTTTGAGAGCTCCAGCCCTTTGGTCTAAAGTCAGGGACTTAATCCCAGGGATGATGATGCCCTCCTCGCTGGTTTGACACCTACCAGGCTAACATCCTGTAAGAACAAAGTGCCCTCAGTGCAAGGAGGCAGGGCAATGGGGACTGGGGAGTCTTCTGGGGCCCCAGGACAGAACCAGGAGTCACAAGATAAGAGGCTTCTAGAGCTGGAAGGGACCTCAGAGACCAGCCTCTTCATTTATAGAGGAGCTAAGACCAGGAACACTAAGAGACTTGCCTCGGGTTATCTAGATTCAGCCCACAAACTTTAAAATGGGGAAACTGAGACCCATGGGGTAGAAAGAAGGCATTGCCTTACTGCTAGGGTTCAAATCTTCATCCCATTACCTTCTGGAAAAGTACAAAAGGCCATGGGGGAGGATGAATGTACAGTGTGGTGAAGAACTCTGACCTGATCCCTTGAACTCTTGGCTCCCAACAGAAGAGGTCTATTGTGATATCATTGGCACAGGGAACTTCCAGGTGAGGAGAATCCCTCTACCAATGTAGGCTGGCACCTTCTCTGCACTCAGGGGTAAAGTGACGGCCAGGTTCACACAGTCAGAGGTGGGGCTTGAACCCAGGTCTTTCTGGCTCCAAGGTTAGCCATACCTTGCCTACACTTCACAGACCCTCAGAGCGGAAAGGGCTTTGAACACAATCACACTTTGATGAAAGTTCCCTCTACTAGCAGGGATTCCATACAGCCTCATTTCAAGCCTTCTGTGGATGGGGCTTTCACTACCCTCAATGCCACCCCTCAACACAGCCCATTCCACCTTGAGGGGGCCCTTGTTTTCTTTCCCGGAGCTCAATCTACTTCTTTGTAGCTTCTGCCCACTTGTCATCCTGCCTAGCTCTGCCTCCAGAGTTTATCAAAGGTTCAAGCCTTCTTCCCTCCATGACAGAGCTCAGATCTTCTGGGGCCCCAAGTTCAGCACTCTTGGCAAAGATACTGGAGTGGTCTGTCCTTTCTGTCTCCAGCTCATTTTACAGATGAGGAAACTGAGGCAGACAGCATTAAGTGACAGGGTCATACAGCTAGTCTGAGGGCAGATTTGAACTCAGGTCTCCCTGACTCCAGGCCCAGTATTCTAAGCACCACACCACCCAGCTGCCCTCCACCACTACATAAAGCTGCTAAATTAGATCGGAAACTCCTTGCAGCAGGGACTGTCTTTTGCCTTCTATGGGGATATGTCTATCCCCATATTTACCATAGCACCCAGCATACAGGTGGGTTTGACCACAGCATGGCTAACAGAGCTGTGCCTAGGGAGGCTGGATCAGTCCCAGTCTTGGGTGGGACACTCACTCATTGCATGACGCTGGGTGGTTACCTCTGTCTAGGCACCTCTCCCCCAACTCAATGCTGAATTCCACCCCCACCCCCCCATTTAGATCCTGGATGCAGGACGTCAAAGCTGGGTGAGGACACGTGCACCTGTCAGGTCAAATGCCTGGTATCCCATGAGCAACAGTAACAAGTTTTAGCAATCCCTGGTGTGTGTGTCCAGGGTGAGGCTGGCACTCAGGCCAGAGCATATTAGACCCTTCAAAGAGGGCCCCAGGCTAGAAGGCAATGCCAACGAGTCCAAACCCTTCCTTTAAAAGAGGAGTAAAACAGTAAGACTCATCTTCCTGAGGTCAAATCTGGCCTCAGATACTTATTTGCTGTGTGACCCCAGGGCAAGTCACTTCATCCTGTTTGCCTCACTTTCCTTATCTGTAAAATGAGCCGGAGAAGGAAATGGCAAACCACTCCAGGATCTCTGCCAAGAAAACCCCAAATGGGGCCCTGAAGAGTCTTATCCAGGGATACGTGGCTGGCAAGGGTCTTGAGGTGGCTTGACAGCCAGGCCTTCCCTACTTCAGGTCTAGAGCCCTCTCATATCACCTCTTCATGAAGCGCAAAAGCCAGTGGGAGAGAAGAAAGTCCCCAAGAAAGGGGTCTGTAAAAGCCACAAGTCAGAGAAGGCTTTTCTTAAAAGGGGCATTTCTTAGGGAAGCCAGTACAACTAACCAACAGGTGAAAAGGGAAGCAGGAGAGCAACCCCCCAAATCAGGATAGAACAAGCCCAGGGTGGGAAAAGGGCCTAGGGACAGAAAGCCCAGAACAGACCTTTTTAGGTAGAATAGGGGCGGGCCCTCAGAGTCCAACTCCCCCCCTCCCCAGCCAGTGGTCCCCTAAACTCCACTAAAAGGCTTCGTGACAAGGCTGCCCGTTCCGATTATGTTTAATTAGCTGTTAGGCAGGGTTTCGGAAATCCGCCCTTCTGTAACTCCTACCCACTGCCAGCCCTCAGTGTTTCCAGGCCCCAGCTCTCAGTGGCCCTGGAAGGACTCTGGCTGGAATCAAGGCACCAGCCCCCTCCTCTCTCCACGTCTGTCCAAACTCTAAAGTTTGTCGATCTCCGAAGCCCTTTGCCATCCTGGACAAGTATTTGGGCATTGTTCTGAGGCAGATGGAGAAGAGGAAGTAAACTGGACGAGGCCCCAGAGGACCCCGGCCCTGTTTTTTTTCTTTCCAAATTCTATCTTCCCGAATACCAACCCTAAGCTTTTTTTGGTAAACAGTCGGTACTTAATCACTGTGTACAGTTAACCGCACCTTGGGATCCCAAACAGGGATGGAGACAATTGCTCCATGCCTGCGAAAGAACAATCCTACAGAAAGTCCGGGGAAGGGGATCTGTTCTTCTCCAAACGAGTCTCCTTTGCCCATCGGCTGTAAACATTCGGCTGCCAGCGAGCAAAGTTCCCAATTCAGCATTCCCGGCTCCAGAGTTAGCAGCGCCTCCCTCTCTGCTCATCCCTGGGGGTTGGAGGGCAGGGGGTGTCTTTCGTTACTTACTGGCATACAGGGTGCCAATAGGATGTAAGCTCCCAGAGGGAAGAGACTGAGGAATTCTTGGTCCCTCCTATGCACCCAGCAGGTGCTTCATCACAGCTGGTTGGAACGTCTAGGGAGTCTAGACGTTCATTTTTCAGACAAGGAAACTGAGGCCCCCAGAGGGGCAATGACTTGCGTGCAAGAAGTGAGCCGGGACTTAGCAGCTTGAACTCAGGCTCTGGGCTTTAGGTCGAGCTCTTTCCGAGCCCCTGACAGACGACTCTCAGCGGGAGAATTTGGCCTTCTCCTCTTCCAGGGGAGGCCTTCTGGACCCCTTCCCCCCAAGATCGGGCCCTCCCGGCCAATCGGCGCTCTGCCCCGAGGGCACGGACCCCGGCTGCCAGCTCCGGAGCAGAAAGGGCGCCCGTTGCCTCCCCCCTCCTCCGCCCCCCAACCTAGCCGAGACCAAGTCTATATTTAACCACCGGCGCCCGGGAGCCGCGGGGACAGGGGCGGGGAGGGGAGGGAAGAGGAGAGACCGGGCACAGGCTCCAGGGTCCCCAGTGTGGCAGACCGTTCCCCCGCACACCCCTTAGCGGCTCGCGCTCACGGCCCTACGGCCCTGCCGTCCCTCACCCCGAGCCCGACCGTCCTCCTCCCTAGTCCGAGCCGACTCACCTAACTACCGACCGCGCCGGGCAGCTCGCCGTGCCTGCCCGCCTGCCTGCCTGTCTGGCTGCCCTTGGCCGAAACGCTGGAGGAAGAGCCGAAAAGAGGACCCACCGCCCGCCCGGCTGTCTGACTGGCAGTGTGGCCCGAGGGCTGAAGGGCGGGTGCTTAAGTGTGCGCGGCCTAGGCGCCGGCGTGGGACTCCGGCCAGGGGGTGGGCGAAATCCTGGGAGCCGTGGGGGGTGGGGTTGAGGGAGGGGTCGGGCTGGGGCGGGGATGAACTCGCCATAGGCCGGGCTTGGAAACGAACCTGCCCTCGGCCCCACCCCTGGCTTTCCCTTGGCCCCTCCCCTGCGGCCCCTCCCCTGCTGCCCCTCCGCCAGGGAGTAAAAGCCACCCTCCGCATACTTACCCCTCCTCCCCTCTACCACCCGTCTGTGAGGTTCTCCCCACCTCGCAGTCCCTGCCGCCTCTTCCTCTAGCTCAGTTTCATCAAGCGCTGGGCTGGTGTGGAGAGGGGTATAATACCCCCTGTCCACCTCAGCCTGGGGGATGAGGGGCGGGGTGTACTTCCAGGATCCTAACCCATCTTAGAGATGCGCGAAGTGTTTCCCCAACCCCTTCCGTTGGCCTCATCCAAAGATCTGGACCCTGGCTTGGAGGTGGGGTCTCCCCGAGCGCCCGAACTTGGCCGCTCTACGGGGCATCTCTAGCAAACCTGGCCCAGCCTTGCAGAGCCCCAGCCCATCTCACCAAATACCCCCTTAGGCATCTCAGAGGTAAAGGCTTTGCCTCAAGAGCTGCTACCTAGAGAAGGAAGCCTACACCCTCCAGGGCTTGTCCAGCCCCCAGCCACCCACCCACCCACCCCCCGCCACCCCAAGACAGGGCTCCTTTCCTTCTGGCCCTGGTGGGGCAGGCAGTCTTGATGCCAAAAAATGAATGGCAGGCAGACATTCCGCTGCAGCGGGTGAAGTCCCAGAGCCTGCCTCCGCCCCGACCCCTCTCTACGACCTTGGACTCTTCCTTTCTTGCTGGGCCTCACTTTAATCAAGTCCCGGAGTCCCAGAATCAGGGAGGGACATGGGACTTCAGTGACCTTCCCATTCAACCCCAACCAGAAAAGAATCCCCACTATAGCGTAACTGGACAAAGGGGCATCCAGGCTTCCCAAGGAAAGGAACCTCCTCCCCAGGCAGCCCAGGCCACTTTCCCGACAGCTGCAATGGTCAGGAAGCGTTCCCTGGCCTTTCGCAGCTCCCCGGCACTGCCCCTGCCTCTGTCCTCCAAGGGCAAACGGAACACGAGCAGCCTCCTGAATGTCCCCAGGCGGCCCCTCATTCACTGGAGCCCCAGGGCCGGTCCCCCTTCCATCTTCCCTAGACCACACACCGCACCTCGTAGGGTGTGGACTCCAGGCCCTTCACCCTCCCAGTTACCATCCCTTGGACAACCTCCAGCTATTCAGGCCGAGCTGTGATGGGAAGGCATCCCATCCAGGTGAGGTCTGAGCAGAACAGACTACAGCAGCAGCCTTGTCGCCCTCGCCTGGAGGGCTTGGCCCTTCTTCCTGCAGCCCAGATTTCCCAGATTTTTGGTTGCCTCCTTCTACTGCTGACCCTTAAGCATGTAATTCACTCAAACCCCAGGATCTTTTTCAGACACCCCCCTGACTAACCAGGCCTCCCCGATCCTGTACAGGCAATCTTTCTTTCACCCAGGGGTATGATTTTTTTACACTCATCCCAGCTAGCCAACTCTTTTCTTCCAGAGTTCTGCTATTTTACAGGACTCAAGCCTAGAGGAAGGTGCTGAGAATTTGCTGGGCCTCTAGGGAGAGGCCGACCTGGAAGCAAGGATTCAACGGGTCAAATTGTGGAGGACAGACAGAAAGTAAACTGCTCATGGGAGAAGCAGCTTCAGCCTTTGGGGTAGAGCTTCACCCTTTTGGAGGTATAGCTTCATCCTTTGGAGTACAGCTTTGGTCTTTGGGGGTACAGCTTCATCCTTTGGGATACAGCTCCAGCCTTTAGGGTACAACTTTATCCTTTGGGGTACAGCTTCATCCTTTGGGGGTACAGTTTCAACCTTGGGGGTACAGCTCCAGCCTTTAGGGTACAGCTTCAACCTTTGGGGTACAGCCCCAGCCTTTAGGGTACATCTTCAGCTTTTGGAGGTATAGCTTCAGCCTTTGGGGGTACAGTTTCAGCTTTTGGGGTACACCCCCACCTTTGGGGTACAACTCCAGCCTTTTGGAGGTACAGCTCCAGCCTTTGGAGGTATAGCTTCAGCCCTTTAGGGTACAGCTTCAGCCTTTGGGGTATAGCTCCAGCTTCTGGGGGTACAGCTTCAGTTTTGTGGGGTACACCTCCAGCCTTTTGGAGGTACAGCTTCATCCTTTGGGGGTACAGTTTCAACCTTGGGGGTACAGAGTCAGCCTTTGAGGTACAGCTTCAGACTTTGGGGTACAGATTGGGATTTTGTTCTTGGAGCTGAAGCAGCCTTGCAAGGCAGAATGGAAATAGGTTCCCCCATCCCTCTCAGTTTGACCCCATAGGACTCAGTGAGGTTTCTGCTTGCAATCTTTCTGCACCACCTCCTCTTTCCTTTGCCTCATTCATCACAGCCGGCTCACCTGCCAAGCACTGAGCAATGCATGGTCTTTGAGCTGATTGTAAGGTCAAAGGGCTGGTCTTGCTTTGGTCCACCTTGCTTACAGAGCTCCCTGCACGTTCCTGCTTTAGAATTCACTCTGACTGACCATTTGCTCACAGGGTACTTCAGTGCTTACCACAATTTTGCTTTGCTTTCCAAAGCTTTGGAGAAAATCCTTCTGTGTTGGCATAAATTAGGATTTCCTTGATAATGCTGTCTGCCAGACTACTGAGCCCATCATTCCTCCTTTGCAGGATGAGGAGACAGAATGTCCACGTGCCCTCGTCCCTGGCGAGGAGCAATCAGGCTTGGCTTCCACAGTCAATGGCTCTATCTTATGGCCATCCCTCCTTACAGCACTTCATGCGGATCCCTTCGAAGCCCAAGGGTACTTTTTGCGGCTATGCGCATCCCTCACATAAACTCCTTTGTCGCCCAAATTTTCAGGATGCGAAAGCATTGTTCTGGAACTCAGAAGACTTGGATTTCAGGCACAGTTCCTTGTGGCCAGGAGACCTTGAAGAAGACACTGTCCTTCGAGAGCCATCGAACTCAAAGTTGTTGCTCTGCTCCAGATTTCACGGGGAGATTCAGTTCATTTCAGCGAGCGCAATTAGGTGACTCCCAGGGGTTAAGTGCTGATGTGTGGATGTGCAGATGCAAGAGTAAGTGAAACTCTGCCCTTCAGGCCTTACATTCTACACCCAGGCTCCCACTGAGGGGTGGAGATGGTGGTCAGTTTGGAAAGGCAGCCGGCCGACACATTGTGGCTTCCAGGCCAGCTTCTTTCATAGAGGGGGCATTGAGGGACTGAGCTTGGTTCTCCTCCAAGAGCTCCATGAATTTGAGGCCCATAATCTCCATCCTCTGGTGCTGATCTCTGGGCAGGGGCAGCTTGACAATGTATACCCCATGGCACTGCCAAGAAGAGCTCTGTCCATTGAAATCAAGCAGATGTTTAGCCAAGAGGGTGCTGCGTGTATATTGACCACATCTTTATGAAATATAGAATGACTGTGACTTTGACTTGAGGAATAAGGTGGCATGTGGAAGGAGGGGAGTTAGACAATGTAAGACTTGGTGGCTGACTTCAGAAGTGTCTGATAAGATTATAGTCACAATGCTAACTAACCCCCTTGCTGGTCATCTTCATCCCCAACTAGGGCAAACACTGACTCAGAATCAGACCCCCATCCATCTATACCTCTTCCTCCTCCTGGGCAGGCCTCACCCACCTATGACTCACCATCTCTTCCAGTCCTCTGAAGACCTGCCCCCTGGGGCCTTGGAGTCTTTCGTGGGATCAGTGGGACTACTTCTCTCTAGCTTTGGTGGCCGTAACAGCTGGGGATTAAGCCACTCTGGAGACAGCCCAGTATTTCACCAAAATCCTACTGCTCCAGGGACCAGTGATTTCCTTAAACAAGGGGAGTTCCCTCTACCAAGCCAACTTATTCTGTCTCTGAGATAGTCAAGTCCTAGAGAGGACTTTCCCCAGGGAGGGAGAGGCTGTGACTTGCCCAAGGTCATAGAATCTTAGGACCAGAGGTAGAGCCGAAAGAGACCTTAGAGGTCATGTGACCCACCCCCCTCCCCAGATCAAGGGTATCTGTGAGAGTATACCTGGCTTTCTTTTCCTTTCTCATGAATTTCAAGATGAAAAAGTGGCCACTTCCCCATCCCTCCCATCACTTTTCCGATAGCAACCAGTTCCTCCTTGCCTGTGGGAATACAATATCTGCAGGTTACTCCAAAGAGAACACCACTTCTGTTTAAGCCTCTTGATTTTCCTCCCAAGCACTCAGCACTGTGCTTCCTCTTCCCCCCTCTGCTTCTGGTATATCCTCCCCTGAGTATATCTTTATCTCCTCTGGTCGTACCCCTTTTGGATTTGCCTGACATCCAGAGCTATGCATATTTCCATCGTATCTCCCCTACCAAGTCTCACCTTAGATATCTAGGAGGTCAGGCTCGACTCTGTGCTAGGAACTTGGGTTCACCCAGTTCATGGCCCATCTTTCCAGCATTTCTTTTGAGCCATGGCCTTTAACGTTGGCCACTTCCACAGGTTTTGTCTCTGGTGAACTTCTGGGAATCTCCACTGCAGCCTTCTCTCTACAATGAGTTAGCTTCTCACTAGGGTATTTAGCTTGGTGCGTTTAAGGTATCAGTTTCTGGTTCACTTCTTCTCTCTTTTCAGTTTAAAAACCTTTTAATTGTTACTCGTTCCCTTTAATACTATGCTGTTTAATATTGATGCAAACCGTGAATGAACCGGGAGCCCCAGAGGGGGATGATTCACTCTTAGCAGCTTCAAACCTTAGATTCTCATTCCATATAAACAATGTAGGGGTTTGAGCCTTGCCAGGTAGTTTTAAAACCAGATTTCCCTGTTCCCGAGCTCCCAACAGCTACTGTTCAAAACCTTGGAGTCACCTTGTATTCTTTCCCCCCTCATCATTCCTTCCTCGTTTCTTTTAGGGACAGCTCAACCTTCCAGTCCCCCAGACAGCAATTCTCCATCACAGCTTTGCCGTCTCTGGTCTGGATCCCCTCCTCTGTGTGACTGCAGCCTCCATCCTGGCCCAGGCCCCCATCACCTCTCCTTTGGACACCGGCAATTCCTCTTCCTTCCTGGTCTCCCCGTGTGCCGTCTCTCCTCTCGCCCTAACCAACACCCTGAGAGCTCCGGCCCCCTCAAGTCTCTCCTCTGCTCTGCAAGCTTGTGTGACGGCTTCCTATCACCTCCAGGATCCGATCCGAAGGGCATTTCAAGCCTTTCGTTACCTGGTTCCAGCCTATTCCAGGCTGGTTACTCTTCCCGCCCCCTACCCCGGCACTTTGCACCCTGGACCAGCTGACCTTCTTGCTGTCCGTTATCTGTGGCTCCCAGATCTTTGTCCCATCTGTCTTCAATGCCAGGACCCTGAACTCCCTTCAAAGCTCAGCCCAAGTGCCGCCTCTCCAATTTCATTCCCGTCTCCTTACTGCCCCCCTCCAATTTCCAGCCAAAATCACTGTATTTATTTTGTAACTTGTACATAATCTCCTTGAAGCTAGAGATGTTTCCTTCCCTCTGCTCGTATCCTTTGAACCTAGTCCAGTCCCTGGGACAGAGTATTCACTTAACAAATGTTTGCTGATTGACTATTCGGTTGATTCCCTTTCCTTGGCTCCTCATAGATAGAGGCTGGTAAAGTGGGAGACTGCCTTCGAATCTTTTCTCTAACGCTAGTTGTGTGATCACGAGTCAAGTCACAGCCCATCTCTGAACCGCTTGTTCATCCCCTGTAAAATGGAGATACAAAGTCCTTGTCCAAACACATCCCCAGGAAGGATGTCCTGGGGAGGAAAGTGGCTTTAGGGGAGTCACGGAGCGGTAGGGCAGCTGAGTAGGCCGGGACGGACAGAGAAGTCAGTGGTTTGGGGGAGTTGAGAAGGCCCCGGGGACCTCTGCCCTGGTCAGACCACACCTGGAGTAGGTGCTGGGTTCAGTTCTGGGGGCCATTATGTTAGGAAGGACCTTGGCAGCTCGTGGTAAAGTTCAGAGGAGGGAGGCCAAGATGGCAGAGGACCTCGAGTCCGTGTCATACTAGGATGAGCTGAAGGAATGGAGGGGCGTGACAGCTGTCTTTAAGCGTGTGAAAGGCTATCACAGGAGAAGCCAAGTCAAGAAGCACTTATTAAGCACTGTGCTAAGTACTGAGGATACAAAGAAAAGTAAAAGCCAGTCCCTGCCCTCAGTCTAATGGGAGAAACAACATGCAACCAAGTACGTACAAGCAAGCTGTACACAGATGAAGTGGGAAGAAATCAACGTGTGGAGGGTGTGAGGGCTGCAGAGGGGAATTTTAGCTGGAACTTGAGGGAAGCCAGGAGGTGGGGAGGCAGCCAATGACCAGGACTCATCAGCTCCTTCCTAAATCTAGGCTCTGATCTTCTTCACAACCACCCTAGAGAGCAGGATGTGCCCTTGCCCATCCTTGTCCATGCCCCGTTGGGATCTGGGTCATTGGTGCACAGGCTTTATCTCGCGTCTCAGATTGCCAGGACCGTGCCCTATCTCCCTTTGAGCCTCAGGGCTTCACCGGCATTCATCTCAGGTTTAACTGTTCAATTTAAGCCCATTAGGGGACTGGAGAGAGCCAGTGGAATGACTTTGGGCTCCATCCAACTGCACCCCTTCCTGGGTTGTCTTCGAGGGCATTTCCTACAGCCAAGGCTGGGTCTGATGCCACCACCATTGTCTCCAGCCTGAACTACCTGCCTCTGCATTCTCTTCTATTCAGTTTCTCCTGAGGAGGGAATCAGACTGCCTGGAAGATGCTTTATGCAGTATTCCAAACCCTTAGCTCACAGGGACTGGCTCAGCAGCTTCCCCACTAACTACTTATTACACAATCAGGCAGTCAAAAGACATGTATTAAGTGCCTTCTGTGTGCCAAGCACTGAGTGAACCCATTATGAATGACAGAGTGGTAAGCTGAAATCAGAGAAATTCTAGAGATTAGGATACATCAAAGAATACACAATTCCAGTAAGAGCTCTTCAGCTCAGAGTAATATGAGATCTCAGTTCAAACCAGGAGAGAGAAAGAAGGCTCTTTCTTCAGGGAGGGTCCCTCTCTGCAAGCAGGGAAGGTCCAGGGACACCATGAGGCCAGCCCTTCTACCAGTCTGTTGAGGGCCCCGAGGGCTCCAACCTGTTGGCCCTCATCTGAATCTCTGGACCCCCCCCCCCAGAGGCTCTTCCCAACTTTCTCCAAGTGTGTCAGTGACCAAATCAGCGGAGTTCTTTATAGCAAGGCTCAGAGTGGCTTCAGCATTCTCTCAGCCAGTCAGGAGTCATGCCTCCCTCCGTGTCTTGAAAAGGACTGATTTTTCAGGGCGCCGCTCAGAGTGTTCCTTCAGCCCGAGAGGAGGGATTTGAACCCAGGATTGGCTCTGGAGCCAGTGCACTTTCCAGTTTACTACCTTTGATCCTCATGACCACACTGTGGGACAGGTGCTTTCTGTCTTATTCCTTTTTTTTTTTTTTACAGATGAGGAAAAGTCTGTGGCCACATAGCCAATGTCACAGGCAGGATTTGGACCAGCTTTCTCCTGGTTCCAAGTTTTTTAGAGTGAGATGATAATGACGACCTGTGTCACTTAGAACTCAAGAAACTGGGATTCCAATCCTGCCTGTGGTGCTTGCTAGCTTCGTGATCCTGGGCCAGTGCCTTCCTCTCTTTCAACCTCAGTTTCTTCATCTGTAAAATGGAGATAACACCTGTAGCATCGTCCTCCCAGGTTGTAGAGGGACTCCCAATAGATAGCCTAGGAAAATTTTTTGCCAATCTCATAGTGCATTGTAGACGTGACTCTCATCAAAAGGCTAGTGATAGATTTCCTGCAAAAGTCACATAGATGAGGGCCCTCCATTGAAACCAGGAAATATTCCCTAGCATCTGACTCTTGGGGTTTTATGAGAGCCAAGGGAATTTCAAGGGACTTTTGTGGCTGAATATTTTCCACACTCTAGGCACCCACACACATCAAACGTTAACCAGCTCCCAGTAAATGAGAATTGTTCCTTCAGGAGAGATTTCCCTTGGCTACCCATCGGTGATGAGCTGACACTTCTTCATTCTCACCCATGGCCAGGCGATTTGAGCTGCTGTGACCAGCCAAACATAGAAATGCTTCATCAGATTCTTGCTGGCAGAGGCTTCTGAGTCACACATCCACTGTGCTTCCAAGGGAAGCTTCCGAACTCTGCCAACAATCAGAGAAGAGCGGCAGCAGAGATCCAGAGAAAACAGCAGAGGAAAGCGGGACTGGATTTCAAGACACAACGCCTGGGTTTGGATCCAGGGCTGCCATCAGCTAGCCAAGTGACCTTGGGCAAGGCACTTCCTGTCCGGCTCCTCAGTTTCCCTTGCTGTGAAATTCCTGGGTTGGATTAAATGGCCTTTACAATCCCTTCCAGGTCTGATGCTCTGCAGCTCCAGGCTAGAAAGCAGGGTTGGACACCCTCCAGTCCCAGTGATGCATATTCCTTTAGTGTGTTCCCGCTGTCTCTCACTGAGGAGGGAGGGAGTACAGGAGAATTAGCTCCATTTTACAAATGAGGAAACTGAGTCTCAGAGAAGTGAAGGAACCTGCTTAAGATCTCACAGTCTAAGTGGGGGAGCTAATGCGAGAACCCAGGGATTTCAGCAGCAAGCCCGGTGTGCCTTCTCCTGCCTGGTATCCGATCTTGCTCCTCCCCAAGGAGCTAGAAAAGCAGGGCTCTGACCAGCTGGCTCCCCACAGCAGCAGCAGTGACAACGACATGATAATGTCCATGGTGCAGCCTCCAAGATCTCCACTTTAGGCCACTTAGCAATCCCCCTTCCTCTTCCACTTGGGATCTCTGGTTGTCATGGGGGCATCTCTAGACAGATAGCCTGGCACCTCGTGAAGCAAAAATTCTAAAACATTTCATCAGATTAACCCAAAAATTAGCCTCTCTCTGTCTCTCTCTCTGTCTTTCTTTCTCTGTCTCTGTCTCTCTGTCTCTGTCTCTCTCTTTCTCCCTCTCTGTCTCTCTCTCTGTCTCTCACTCTCTCTCTCTAATTCCCAAGTCTTAGCACAGTGCTTCGTCCATAGTAAACAATAAGTTTTTTTTTAAGCAATCCATTCATTCTCTCCCCAATCTCATCCATTCTTTACTCAGCTGGGACTCAAAGCTGCTATCTTGAAGTACATAAGATTTTGAGCTGGAAGGGTCATGCTTTATTTTGGGGCACTGACCGGGGATTTCATTATTGTAGGAAATTTCAGGGAAAGTGTTTATAGGCAATTAATTTGCAATTTCTAGTCATAAAAAGTTAACTGGGGCACTGAGGTAAGTGACTTGCCCACGATCACACAGTGACATGTCATAGGCTGGACTTGAACTCGGGTCTTCCTGACTCCCTAGCCATCTATCCACTATGTCATGCTCTGGACCAGAAGGAGCTTTAGTTTGGACCCTTCAGTCCAAAACCTCATCTTAAAGATGAAGAAGGGAAGGCTCAGAGAGGTTGTACAGTTTAACTACATGCAATGGTGTCACAGAGCAGTATTCAGACCCAGCTCTTCGGACTTCCTATCCAGTACCCGCCCATTGCCCTGTGCTTCCCCCTCCCTCTCCTGCCTTTGGCTTTGCTCCTATCGTATTTTCAGTGCTGAGAACAGAACCTGGCACATTGTGAGAGCTCACTCAATGCTTATTCATTGACCGTATCTCCAATCCCCGAGACTGTCTGGTCCAAAACACCTCTGTCTGTCCCCCCCTTCCTTGCATTGCTCCTCAGAACATAGGCTCCCTGAGGGCAGGAACTGTCTTTTCTATTTGTATCCCATAGTTAGCACAGTGTCTGTACACAGTACGCACTCAATAAATTCTTTAATTCATGCATTCATTTATTCATCCATCCATGGATTCATTCATTCACCCTGGTTGTGGAGTCCAGTCCCTGCTGCCTCTACCACATCTGCTTGCATGAAGTCATACCTCAGGGCAATTGTATGAGTTTCCAGGGACTTTGGAGACTTACCTGCCCCTTTGAATTCTTCCAGAGCCTTAGAGAAAGGGGACACCAGGACCTTCCTTGTCCCAAGAAGCTACCTCCATCACAACATGGAAGTCGTCTTGTCCTGATACATCCAAGTCTGGTTGAGGCAATCCAATTGAACTCAGTGAGCACTTGTTAGCTGCCTACTATGTTCCATGCACTGTGTAGGTGCTAAAGATGCAACAATAAAAGCAGAACATTCCCTGACCTCAGAGAGCCTAAATCTGACTACTCAAACTGTGGGGGGAAAAGAGGGGAGAGGAGGGGAGGGGATGTTCACTGAGAATTTTCTTCATGTTCAAACTCCTGAAATAGAAAGACGTGGCACACAGGGCAAATGGAACCAAGTCCCAGTGGGCATTCTGCCCCAGAGAAATGAGATGTTTGTGAGGTGTCTGGTGATTAACTGTGTGACTCTTTGGGTTTCACTTTC